AGGGAGACCTTGACTCAAAAACACCAAAAGAAGAAGAAGAAGAAGAAGAAGAAGAAGAAGAAGAAGGGGGAGGAGGAGGAGGACTATCAGCATCGGACATGGTGGCACATGCCTTTAATCCCAGCACTTGGGAGGCAGAGGCAAGGGGATCTCTGTGAGTTTGAGGCCAGCTTGGTCTACATAGTGAGTTCCAGGCTAGCTGGGGCCACAGGGAGACCCTGTCTCAAAATCACCAAAGGGGAAAAAAAAGTCTATCAGCTTGAAAACCTAGCTGGAATACATTTTTATAAAGATATTAAAATACCAATAGTATCACAGGAAGAAATTAATAACCTAGAGACTAATAAGTATTGTGGTGGTTTGAACGAGAATGTCCTCCACAGGCTCCAAGTGCTTGGACATATTGTCCCCAGTTGGTGGTGCTGTTTTGAGAGGTCTTAGAAGGTGTGGCCATGCTGAAGGAAGCAAGTCACTGGGAATGGGCTTCGAGAGTTCTAAGTCCTGCCAGATCCCCATTCACTCTCTGCTTGTTGTGCGTGCCTAAAATTGTGAGCACTCTGATTTCTACTCCAGCCACCTCTGCCACCATGCCTCTGACAGACTCTAATCCCTCTTATGTGCTTATGGAACCATAAGCACAAATAAAATTTCTTCCTATAAATTCCCTTGGTCACAGTGTTAGAGAAGTAACTAATACAAGTATTAAACAAATGGTAGTAAAAACTTCCACTGACCCAACCCCACAACAGCATTTCTACTGATGAGTTCTTTATAATTCTGTGGTAGATTAGAAAACATGGCCATATGTTGTACTTCTACCTATCAAGGTATTAATTTCTCCACTATTATTGAATCTAATCTGACATTATGACATTTTTGAGACAGGGTGTCATATAACCCCGGATGGCCTCCAGCTTGCTTCATAGCCAAGGGTGATCCTGAACTTCTGATTCGCCTACCTTCACTTTCCAAGTTCTGGGATTACAGATACGTGTATACCACCATACCTGGTTTTGGATGGTGTTGGAGATCAAACCCATCTTCATGCATGTTAAACAAGTACTCTAGCAACTGAGCTACATCCCCTGACCAATTGTGACTGACTTTGGACAGAGTGTGGTAAAACAAAGTCATACAATTTCTAAAACTAGTTATTGAGTCCTGTCAGCTTTTGTTTATACCTGCTCAGAACACTGTTCTAAGGCCACCCAATTCAGCCAGTCTGGAGGATGAGAGACCTTTGCAGGGAAACAGACACCCTTACCTATTCCCTCAGATAAACATTCACTACAGAGCAAGACCATCTGAGACATCATGACCTTGGTAGAGCTGTCACATGGGAGTGCCACAGGAATGCACTGGTATTAGAGCATCAGGAATTGCCTAGCTAACCCTTACAATTGTGAGAAACACAATTGAAGACTGTCAGTCACTGGAATCATGTTTCCTAAAGTCAAAATAAGCACTGAGTTAGTGAACACTGACCCATTCATTGCTCTTAGGAAGAATACAGGCTTAGGATCCTGTGAATGTATGAAAATATCACCTGTTTTTGTGTGTCTCTGTAAAAATGCCTCATTGTGGGGGCTAGAGAGGTGACTCAGGGGTTAAGAGTACTTGCTGTTCTTCCAGAGGACCTGGGTTCAACTTCCAGCACCCAGGATGGCAGCTCTGGCTCTAGTCCCTCTTCTGGCCTTCACAGGTGCTACACACACACCAGTAAACATGTCAACAATCAGAACACTTGTGCAATTTTTTTAAATTACTTTAAATGCTTCATTGCATATACTCTGTAAAGTGGCTGAATTCATAGCCGACAGTACGCTAACTCACATCTGGGTGAAGTTTCTCTAACACATTCTTTTTCCCCATGTGGCACATCACTTCTTGTACTTGTTGGCAGTCAGTTGTATCATTGCTACAACCAAATACCTGTTGTCTTTTTTAATTTTTTAATTATTATTTTTAATTTTTATGTGTATGGGTGTAATGCCTGATGTAAATGCACCCATGTCATGCAATGTTCACAGAGGTCAGAGGAGGGCATCACATTCCCCTGGAACTGGAGTTACAGATGGTTGTTAGCTGACATGTGGGTGCTGGGAATCAAACCCAAGTTCTCTACAAGAGCAGCGAGTGCTCCTAACCACTGAGCCATTTCTCCAGCCCCCCCCCCTTTTTTTTGTCTTTTTGAAACAAGATCTCCCTATAGCCCAAGCTGGCCTGGAACTTGCTATGTAGACCAGGCCTATATAGACCTCGATCTCACAAAGTTCCACTTGCCTCTGCCTCCCCAGTGCTAGGATTAAAGGCATGTGCCACCATGCCTGGTGTCCCTAGGCATTTCTCTTTTTTTAATATTTTATTTACTATCTTTTTTATGTGTATGTGTGTATTGCCTGCATGTAGGTAAGTGCACCCATGTCATGCAATGCCCACGGAGGACAGAAGAGGCTGTCAGATCCCCTGGAACTGGAGTTACGGACAGCTGTTAGCTGCCATGTGGGTGCTGGGATTCAAACCTGAGTCTTCTGCAAGAATAACCAGTGTTCTTAACCACTAAGCCATCTCCCCAGCCCCTGGCATTTCTTAATTCAAATCAAATCAACTTCCTCCATATGCTAAGCAACATTTCAGCCATATGGTTGGAGTCCTTTGAAACTAAAATCACCAGAAAAATCTACAAAAAAAAAATTAAGAGGTAAAAAAAATGTGGTAGTAAAGAGATAAGAAGGAAGGCACTTATGTACAGTGAGAGCTAAAGGAAACAGAGAAAGCATATTCAGTCTCACCAGCAGCATGTGCACCAGCCAGCTCCAGTGTCTCTAACTGCTCTGTGCACATCTACAATGAAATAAACACTGTGTTCTATGAGGCCACTCAGTCTGGAGTGCTGTATCACAAACACAGTGGATTTCTGACGCCCTTCATGTTAACGGTGGTCTTATTTTTTCCAGGCAGTACTTGAGTCTTTTATGCATAATCCCAGTAGTCTTGGATATTGCTCTTTCTGCCTGGGGTGATAGAAATATCAGGCCCCTCTTACACATTTCCTTCCCTATGCCTGTACACTTTCCAAGCTATTTCTCCACACAGCCTGGTTTCTTTTGGTAGGCAGTGATATTTCAAAACCACAAAATCAGGCCACTAGAAATGGCCTTTGCTATGTTACTGGCATCTAATAACCAGAAACTGCAAGTATTGTTTGTATGTTTTGTTTCATTTTTGTAAAGTTTAGTATGTTATGTAGCATTTTACTGTCTGCCACTCACCTCCTCCTTCCTCAGAGAGAGAGAGAGGTTCTACTCAGCCACAAGATGCTTAACTAAGAGTCTTCCCAATAACCTCCCCTCTTACCTGTGATCCACATCTTACATGTAGCCCCATACCAGTACCTGATTCATCCAAGGTAATACACAATGGTTGTTGGAAATAGTAAAAATGTTAACAATAATACTGGACATGGTGGCACAGGCCTTTAATCCCAGCACTTGGTGGGCAGAGGCAGGTAGATATCTCTGTGAGATCAAAGCCAGCCTGGTCTACATAGCACATTCCAAGTCAGCTGGGGCTACAGGGAAACCCTGTCTCAAAACAAACAAATAAAAAAATTTTAACAGTAACTTGGTACTTGGTGTCCCAGTCAGGGTAAAAAGACCGGGTCCATGCCATCTTTTCCTCAGTAACAAAGATTCCTGAATTCCTATTCTCCTACACCTAGAAACCCTCCCATATTGTAGACCAAAGGACACCCCAATTGGAATCACAAACTGTGTAGAGCCAGGAATGTTTCCTGCAGCAGGCGCTATGGCCCTTGCCTATTCGGGTGTTTTTCCTCACTGAAGCAACCTGGAAAGGAAAAGGGGAACAGAGCAGAGCTGAGAGGATACCGAGAGAAGGAAGCAGGGCAACAGAGGATACATGAGTATTCATTTCATCCATTCATCTGTCCATTCACCACATAGTTCCTGACCTCCTACTCTGGCCCAGGAGCTGGAGAACAGAAGAGAGACAATGACAAAGCAGGCACTTCTGGCCCTGAGCAGCAAAAGGTCAGCCTGTAGAGACAGAAAGGAAAAGGCTCAGGGTCTCCAAAGTCAGAGGAACCCAGGAAACATTATCTCCTAATGAATCAATCTAGAAGACATGCAGCAAGACTCACGGGCTCAGCCCACCCACCAAACTGAAATGGGGCAGACAGGCTCTTCATCTCTGGCTCTCCCAGGGTTTAATGGAGACCGAATAACTTCCCTAGCTACATAGGGCCCACTTCTCTACAAGAGTATGCTATAGGCGGCCCAACATCCCAGATAAGAAGAGCTTCAGAATGCATGGAACACTGGAAACATTTATTCAGTTCACATCTAAAGTCATCCACTCCAAAACTGTATCCACACAACTTTCAAGTGTCCCTGGATGTGGCCACTAGGGTACTGAAGAAGACGGTGCCAGAGGGGAGAGCTCCCATGAGGCCAGTGTGGCAAATGTTTTACACTCACAGATGGATCCCCACTGGGGTGCAGAGGAAATTCTATCAGGCCAGATACTGAGCCAGATGTACAAGTCCCAGCCTTACACCTCTGTAGGAAATTGCAGAGCCTCCTCTGTCTCTCTGTCGCTCTCTGAGTGATCACGGAGTAGGCTGGCATGGAAGGGACTCAGGTGAGAACACTTGTTCCTCCACTGATGATGTCTCTCTTCTGCAGATGTCCTCTAAGACCTTCGTGAGTTATCTTCCTCTACCTGGCAGGCCAGATGGCCTTCTAGCCAGGATTGGTTCACTCTCCTTCACTCCAGACAGAGTACAGTACTAGTACAGTTAGAGCTGAGGCAGGTCACCAGAGCACCAGGCCAAGGCATGTTCCAGACTCCAAACTCCCTGCCATACCCCACTGTGGCAACAGATCCTAACTAGAATTTGAAGAAAGAGCATTGAGAAGGAAAGACAGAGGAGAGGCCTAGTGGAGACCCAGAAACAGGAGGATAGTAGGCCATGGGGATCACAGGGTCACCAGGATGCCCAGATGCAGCGGCAGGCACAGGCTTAAGATGAGGACACTTACTGAGTTTTGACATGAAACTTGACTCAGTTCTGTAATGATCCAGTCTTTGTAGTAGCTTACGTCTGTATAAACTCCAGGGATTCCTGCTCGACCGCAGCCAATGCCCCAGCTCACAATCCCTACCTGCACCCATGTTTTATTAAATTCACAGACCATTGGGCCCCCAGAATCTCCCTGGAAAAAGAGAAAGAAACAAATAACAGGATGAAATGGATTCATATCAGAGCAAACTGATTACACCCCAAGGCACTGGGGAGAGAGGTACACACTAGACTTCCTCAGGCACCTGCTAGCCCTAGACTACCTATTCAATGAGGTGTTGTTGTTTTACAAGAGAACTGAATGTAAACTGAGATAATGTTCCTTTTCTGAAACAGTAATAAATTAATTACCCCAGTGCATAGAGTGTCACATAGAAGGGACTGAAAATACAGAGCTTGTATAATTACCTCTGATTCACCTCACCCCACCCCCTGCAGGCAGCACCAGATGCTCTCTCCTGGAGGATTCTGTCAGGCTAGCCCAGGAGAGATGTAGTGACTTGTTCTGACACCCCATTATCTTGAATAACAATGAATGAGGAGCTGAGCATAATCCAGGCCCTGCCATCTGAGGATGAGGAACATATGAGGAGACATTCGCAATGCAGTGTTAAAGGACCCATGAACTGACCTGGCAAGCATCTCCTCCATTCTTATCGTAACCACAGACTATCCCATCTGTGAGCAAGTTAAATATCTGTCCCAGGTTTTCCTTGAGAAGTTGATTACATTTCTCAAGATGAATAACATTTAGCTGAACCTCCCGAAGCTTTGATATTGATGATATACCTATACGGAGATAATTCCAGAGACAGTAGATGTGTGTTAAGTGGGATAAAATGACAAGTTAGTGCTGCCTCCTCTGGGTCTCAATACTGTGTTCACATACAAGATCCTCATAGGCATTTCCTATTCTTCCCATCTGACACTGAGGGAAATGAAGCCCAACACTGCCAAGAGTATAAGAGGATGTAAAATCCAAACCAAGGCAATAAAAGTAAGAATTAGCCAAGAGAGGGACGGCAAAATCTTGTGATCTGGAGAGGTGACAACCCAATGTGTGATACTCTGCCATTAATACTAGTGATAGTGTCCTGTGCCTCAGTAAAGCATCTTTACTTTCTAGGATAGGATCACACATTCTTAGACAGGTAATGCCCCCAAAGTACCAAATCCAGATCCTTCCCAGTAATAGATCTTACAGTAATAGGAGATCCCCCCTGAGCTTTCTGACCTCTTCTCACAAACAAGAAGCTCCCTGTCTATCAAAGTAGTTGCTTTCAGCTTAAAGACTGGTCATACCCTGAGCTAAAATCCACCCTGGAGAGTATCTACCATTTGGTACCCAAGTTCTCAAGTTCTGACAAGCCCATAGAAATTCACTGACAGTTATTGCCTGGCAGCATCTTTCCCTGCTCCTCCCATATCCCCATCCTGTCCATTAGCTTGTAGACCACTCCAGTCCACTAAATAGCCAGCTCCCTGGCCTATAGTTGCTGAAGTCTTACTTTAGTCTCTAGTCTCACCTTGTTCAGCTGTTTTGCCCCATCCGGTCACCCAGCACCTGGTCCCAGTGGGTACATGGAAAGCCTTTCCAGGGAGGCACACAGGTTGGATGTTAGCACTGAAATCCACAGGGGTGGCCAGCAGAACAAGGGCAATGTCATGTAAAATTGCTCCCCAAACAGAGTAATCTTGGTGAACAATGATGTCCTTGACTGGAATCCTGACTGGGAATCCGGAGACCAGGTTTATCGCTCCCAGCACCACTGTGTATTCCAGATGACTGCAGAGAGATCCTGAAGGGTCTACAAACTTCCCCTCCACCCAGTTCAAGTGCTTTCCAGCCCAGTCCCATCTTCCTAGGCCAACCATCAGCCACCTCCCTCCATCCAAACCATATGCCCTCCAGGACCCCTGACCACCCTTGCTAGCCACCAGTCAGTTCTCCAAGTGTGGTCCCAGACCAGTATCACTTGAGAATGTGTTAGAAATCCAAACCCTCTGCTGTCACCAGAAAATGAATAAAAACCCTGGGGCTGTATCTCCACCACCCCCTTTTCATTATTGTTGTTTTTTGGGTTTTGGGTTTTTTTATGGTGCGGGTGCCCAAAGCAATCCCTGTGCAGCCGCCCTGGGAACTGCAGGCACCCTCCACACCCTTTTTAAGTTTGTTTTGAGACAGGGTCTCATTCTATAGCCCAGGCTGGCCTGGAACTCACTATGCAGACCAAGCTGGCCTCCAACTCCCCATATTCCTACTGCCTCAGCTTCCCAAGTGCTAGGTACAAGCATGAACCACCACCTCAAGCTCCTTTACTTCAAATAGAGAAGAGAAAGCTCAAGGAAAGGACAGGTCATGCAGCCTGGTAAGGGGCCCAAGCCCAGAGTCCCAGACACTCACCCATATACACAGTGGGCTGCAGTCATCACCCACCGTTGCCCAATGAGGGAGCCCCCACAGACATGCTGACTTTTGACCTGCAGGCTCACCTGCCAGGGCCATTTCTTAGCTGCCGCAGGCTGTCCACCAACTATCCTTGCTGCTCTATGGCCACAAGCTGGGGGAGGTCAGTGAAAGGAAGGGCTAGAGGTAAAGTTGTTGCTGTTCCACCACCAGAGCCAGATCCTCAGAACTGCAGAACAAGGCTCTGTCCCCTGTGAATCTCAGGGTAGGTGTGGATCCCTAAGACTCATCAGGGAACGGTGGTGTACTTTCAAATGGCATGAGCAGGTAGGTAGGATCCACTCAGAGCCCGCACCCCACACCCAGGGACCATGGTGCTCCTAAAAGCCTCCTCCTCCTAGCCATCCGGGTCCCATCCAGTTCAGTCCAGGCCAGTTCTCTATGACCAGGTGTGGCCCAGAAACTTCACCTGACATGTTTGGGTTCCAAACTGGATGTGTTTCCTGTGCCATTGCCATGGTTGAGTAGGAGTGACCGGGGATAAATGCCACCGAATCCTGGGATACCATGCTGCCCCCAGACTGTAGGACCGACAAGGCTCCGGGCATCTGGGTGAACGGCCGCTCCCGCTGCCTCACCCCAGTGACGTGGAGGTCACCCCCTGAAGGGAGAGGAGAAAGGGGAAGCGCCCAGGCCTCGCCCAGCTGCCTCTGAAGCAGCAGGAGCCAGGCCAAGTGGGGATAAATGCCACCGAATCCTGGGATACCATGCTTCCCCCAGACTGTAGGACCGACGAGGCTCCGGGCATCTGGGTGAACGGCCGCTCCCGCTGCCTCACCCCAGTGACGTGGAGGTCACCCCCTGAAGGGAGAGGAGAAAGGGGAAGCGCCCAGGCCTCGCCCAGCTGCCTCTGAAGCAGCAGGAGCCAGGCCAAGAGGGTCACCATGCCACCGCGCAGGCCTCGGCCTATGGCCGTTATTGCAGCTGCGCACAGTTCTGGCAGGGAACCGGCTCCTGGGCACCCCTGCAGCTTCCTGGCCTGACTATTTCATCTTCTCCCTTCCTTCACCCAGAAATACATCCGCGACAGACATCAACGAGCAGCTGCACAGCAGTTTCCCCAGGCTTGACCACGCCTCTCCCACAATCTCCTTTTCCCCCAATGGTCTATAACCAAAATAAAACTCCTTAAGGAAATGTTGTACCTAGCATTACTAACCATTGGGAAGGAGGTGAGACTGCTATCTTTTCAAAACTCAGCATCCACAAGAAAAGACGTTCAAGACCCACTAGTCATGTTAGCAAAATTCAAATTCATGCTACAGTGAGACATCACTACAAGTCTATCAGTCTGGGCAAAATAAATAGTAACAACACAAAGACTGACAAAGGTACAGAGATATTAGATCCCTCATATATGTGGTGGGAATGTAAAATAATACAACCACACTAGAAAACACATGGGAAGTTTATTATTAAATAAAAATGCAATTGCCATGCAATCCAGTAATTATAATCCTGGATATTCATCCCAGAGCGATAAGGATCCATGTACACACACACACACACACACACACACACACACACACACACACCACTAACCTGAATAAATGCTTACAGTATTATATCTTTATTCAACAAAGTCAGCAGCTGAAGATGATGCTGTGGTAGAAATCTTCATCGCCCATATGCGTTCTGATCCCTAGAACCTGCGAATATGTTAATTTACGTGGCCAAGTGGTCAATAGAATGAAGTTAAGGTTCTTTAGACAAAACATTATCTGAATTATGGGTAGGCCAGCTGTAATCATAAGTTTTCTCATATGGAGGCAGGATCATGGAAGCCAGAGAAAGAGATGTGATGCCAGAAGCAAGAGAAAGAGGAAAGGAGAGAGAGGAAGGGAGAGGGAGGGGAGAAGAGATGAGAGGAGGAGAGAGGAGGCAAGAGTAGGGAAGAAAAGAAGAGGGGAGAACAGAAGAGCAGGAGGAAGTTGTTTCACTGCTGTCTCTGAAGACTGAATGCAGGTAACCTCTAGAAATTGAAACCAAAAAAACGGAAATAGATTCTCCTCTAGAGCCTTCAGAAGGAAATAAGTCAGCCAGCTTTGGTTTTAGGACTTCTGCCTGCCAGAACTGCAACACACGTTTGCGTTGTCTTAAGCTACTAAATTTATAGTAAATTGTTACAGCTACAATAGGAAATTAACACAAACCCAGATATCCTTCAATGGATGACTGGTTAAACAGTCACACAGTCACACCGCAGAGTTTTACTTAGAAACTGGAATGAACTAGCAATACATGCAGCAACTTAATAAACTTCCAGGAATTATGCTAAATGAAAAAAAGCCAACACATGCCTTTAATCCCAGCACTTGGGAGGCAGAGGCAGGCAGAGCTCTGTGAGATCTGGGCCAGCCTGGTCTATATAGAGAATTCCAGACCAGCTAGGGCTACAGGGAGACCCTGTCTCAAAAAGACCCAAAAAAATAAAATAAAATAGGCATTTTAATCTGGATACAGGGCCTTTGTAATCATGAATACAAAGCAGCTTTGTATTACCTGCATAATGTCTGCAAAACACTGAGCCCTTCAACATTCCATCTTGGATAAGGGATGTGTATGTGAGGTTCCATTCCTTCCTGAAGAGCTGTGCTGGATAACTCTAGTTGTCAACTTGACACACCTGGGTAGAAGGAGCCTCAATTCGGGAATTTCCTCCATTGGGCTGGCCCGTGGTCATGTCTATGGGGTATTTTCTTGATTTTTTTTTTGAGTGATGTGGGAGGGCCCAGCCCACTGTGGGCAGTGCCACCCCTGGGGAGGTTTTTCTGTATTGTATAAGAAAGCAGGCTGAGCACAGGCCAGGGGAGCAAGCCAGTAAGCAGCGTTCCTCCATGGCCTGCTTTGGCTCCTACCTCCAGTTTCCTGCCCTGAGTTCCTACCTTGGGCTTCTTCAGTGATGAACTGTGTGACCCAGGAGATGTGAACCGAAGAAACCCTTTCCTCCCCAAGTTGGTATTGGTCAGAGTGTTTTGTCACAACAATGGACAAACAAACTAGAACAGGAGCTATTGACAAGTAATGGTTGCCAGAGGAGAGGGGTGCAGTTTTCTTCAGTAGTATAGTCACTGGTGTGTTGCCTATGATCAGAAAATAAGCCCCTACTCAGTGCATACAAGCAACCCTAATTAAACTTAGTGGGTTAAAAAAGGGATGAATTGAATTGGGCTGGAGAGATGGCTCAGCAGTCAAGAACACTGGTTGTTCTTGCAGAAGACCCGGGTTCAAATCCCAACACCCACATGGCAGCTAACGGCTGTCTGTACCTCCAGTTCTAGGGAATCCGACGGCCTCTTCTGTCCTCACGGGTATTGCACGACACGGGTGCACTTACCTATATGCAGGAAGTACACTCAAACACATAAAATAAAAATAATAAATAAAATATTAAAAAAGGATGAATTGTTGATGGGGAGAGGGACAGTGATAAGAGAGTATAATGGGACTTGGAAATAATCATAATACATTGTGTATATATGTATTAACTTAGCAAAAACAAATTTTATGGTAGGCATTTTAAAGTCCTTGTCTACTAATTTCATCATCGCTAGCATTTCTGTAGCTCTTTTTGTTGGATATTTTGTCCGTTACAGTTAATAATTTGCTGCTCATTCACATGTCTAAAAATATTTAATGACTGCATGAACTCTGTAAATGTTAGATTGTTGACTATCTGAATTGTATTGTCTGTCTTTAAAGAATGTTAAAATCTGGCAGACACCTAAGCTACTTGATCTAGTTGAGGTTAATTTTTGTTTGTTATAACAGAATGAGCCTAGCGTGTCTGCTGCTCTATAGCTAACTTAACCTAGATACTAGGATTTAAGTCTTGTAGTGTTCATGTTGCCTGCCAGATTCCTCAGCAAGATCCCTTCTCTCTGGATGAAAGTCTCCCTCTGAGAATTGCTCAGTTTTTTTAGAATTCATGTTGAGCCTGGCATTCATTTTGCCTAGCATCCTGGAAATGTATCATAGCATTTACCCAAAGACTAATTGGAATCACTATGAAAAGCTTTTAGCCCTTTCTCTGCATATCTATATCCTATGTAGCAAAGACTTTCTGAATAGAGAGGTTTTAGTTAGTATTTAGATTTTTAGTTAATATTTAGACTTTTAAAAAAATTTTATTTAATAACCATATGATTAGAAAAAAACATTTCATTACAGCTTTAAAATATTCAGTAAAAATTTCCAGAGCAAGGATACATCTCTTTCAAAAGTGGCTGTAGGCTGTAAGATTCACAGTTGAATTAATACAGTTATACAATATTGAACTCAGTATAAACACTGTAAGATATAAAATTGAATGAGTTTTAACTCTTTAAAGAATTTCTCTATTTCATTTTAAAATATGCTGTTTTTTAACATTTAGATGTTTGCACATGCATCTCTAATCTCTATGTATCTGATTATTACTAGTCATAGTCAGTTACACTCAGATCCTTGGCACCTGAGTATGGAGGTAAAGTCATCAGATAGATTTCAATGGCAATGTTTGTCACCTCTACTAATTAACATGAAGTAAAATTTTATGCTTCTTCCTCAAATATGTCTTTTTTTTAATTTGTTAATTTTTGTGTGTGTATCTCATACAGAACATCCCACACCATCTTATTCATCTATATATCCACTTCCCAAATGGCACCCTCCCATAGCCACCTTCCCAAAAACACTTTTTTAAACTTTTAAAAGTTAATATTTAGCAAGATTACTCCATAGTTAAGAGGTTAGCTATGTGCTGGCTAACAGTTGTCTGTAACTCTAGTTCTAGGGGATCCAGTGCCCTCTTCTGGCCTCCATGGGCACTGCATGCACATGTTGCACTTACATACATGCAACATGTGTATAAAATACTCATACATGGGCTGGAGAGATGGTTAAGCGATTAAGAACACTGGTGGTTCTTGCAGAAGACCCAAGTTCAAATCCCAGCAACTACATGGCAGCTAACAACTGTGTAACTCCAGTTCCAGGGGATTTGACAGCCTCTTCTCTCCTCCGTGGGCATTGCACGACACGGGTGCACTTACCTACATGCAGGCAATACACACATACACATAAAATAAAAATAATAAATAAAATATTTTTAAAAAAGAAAGAAAGAAAGAGAGAGAGAGAGAGAGAGAGAGAGAGAGAGAGAGAGAGAGAGAAAGGGAAAACCAAAGACCAAAGCTGAACGTGGTGGCTCACGCCTGTAATCCCAGCACTTGGGAGGTAGAGCCAGGAAGATCTCTGTGAGCTCAAATGAGACCAGCCTGGTCCACATAGCAAGCTCCAGGCCACCTGAGGCTACAGGGAGACCCTGTCGCAGAATAGACCAAAAAAAGAAAAAGAAAAAAATCAAAGGCCAAAGGATTTTCCAACATGGGGTCAAATTTGGTGGAATAATGAAGGTTTCCATTAGCTCTTTTTTTTTTTTTTTTGGAGCTGAGGACCGAACCCAGGGCCTTATGCTTGCTAAGCAAACGCTCTATTACTGAGCTAAATCCCCAACCCGTTTGTTTGTTTTTTTAATCCTAACTAATTTATTGGGCTTACTAATAGAGCATAGGGGTAGGGGTTTTGTGCTGGATAGCTTTAGTGTCAACTTGACACACCTGGGTTGACGGAGCCTCAATCAGGGAATTGCCTCTATTGGACTGGCCTGTGGCCATGTCTGAGGGGCATCTTCTTGATGAGTGACATGAGAGGGCCCAGCCCACTGTGGGTGGTGCCATCTCTGGGCAGGTGGGCCTGTGTTGCATAAGAAAGCAGGCTGAGCAGGGGCCAGGGGAGCAAGCCATTCCTCCATGTGCTCCAGTTCCTGCTTCCAGGTTCCTGCCCTGTGTTCCTACCTTGGGCTCCCTGAAGAACTGCAACCTGGGAGTTGTAAGCTAAATAAACCCTTTGCTCCCCAAGTTGGTAGTGGTCAGAGTGTTTTGTCACAGCAATGAAGAACAAACCAGAACAGTAATTGGTACCAGAGAGTGGGATATTGTTGTGACAGACCTGACCCTGGTGTTTTGGGGAGGACCATGGAAGTGTTTGGAACTTTGGGCTGGAAAAGCCATTGTGTGCTCAGAGTTTGTTGCTGTGGAGCTTGGAACAGTTATGCCAAAAGAGTTGTAGACAATGGAGGGATGGAGGCCTGGCCTGTGAAGCTTCAAAGGGAAGCAAAGACTATCAGGGCTATTCATGTAAGATTTTGAATTAAGAATCTGTGGGTTCTGGTCGGCTGGGATTGAAGAATCAGCT